TTTAACACTACTGTTGCTAACAATGGTCTCTGTGAGCCATATTTACTACAGACAAATAGTTCGTTTCCATAGCGTTTGTCTGAATCACAGGGGATGTTTAATTTGGGTCAAATTTGTCAAAATTCCGAAGCAAAAATTTGAAAGCTAACTTACCGTCATCAACCCGTGCTCTGTTCTCTGATAAAGCACGCTCTTTCAGCCAATCAGAGCGCGCGTTATATGGAAACTTTATTATAAAACATGATAAAACAGACTTGTAGCAGCCTCGAGCTCATAATTTAATCGTTAATTAGAATTATGATTTTATTATTATTATTATTTTTTATTTTTTTTTATTTTTTATTTTTATGTGAAGTACGTTATTGAAAGTTTTAAACTCGATCTTACCAATCCGTCGGCAACACTCAACGCCACCATAGAATCGGAGTCCGAAGCCACTTTTCCAGTTACGAATGACTTTCGAGAAACCGGTTTTGTAATTCGTCGGCCTTCTTCATCGTGCGTTTCTAGCTGCAGATCAGGAGCCATGAAATTGGTGTGACGTTTAACCTGAAGGTGCAGCTGTTCTCCCGAAACGTCCATGATGTAATGATATGTTGCATTATCGTTATCGTCCTCAGCCAGATCTCGTTTCGATCGGTGATCCAGCGAATATGTGAGAAAACTGCCTCCTTCATCCGCCTTAAACGGTAATGTGACATCGTATTCAGGAACTAAAAGACAAATAAACAGACAAGCAGTAAAGCTTAGACCAAGATTTACCTGTTAATCTTTGCACAATATAAAAGGCCGCACTAAGGTAGAGGATTAAAAGTATTTAAAAAAAAGTCCTAAGGAAATACGCGCGCTGATTGGTTAAAAATCGTGTTTCCATAACTCGATGGAAACACAGAACTAGCACGAGCTTTTGACGTAATGCTGACGCGAGCAAAGATAATTTACATTTTGATGATCAAAGTAAACAAGCTGTTTTTCTTTTTTTCGTCGCGGTGTTTTCTTAAAGAAATAGAAAACATGTTCTCTGTATTTTAATCGAGTCATAGAAACACTCGTGAAAGTTTGGGAGAACTCGAAAAAGCTGTGAAAACACTCGCCTGCGGCTCGTGTTCCCACAGCATTTCTCGTTCTCCCAAACTTCCACTCGTGTTTCTATAACTCGATAGAAACACGGTACATGTTTTCCATGTCTTAATTATGGTTATTCAAGAACATAGAAATAACTAATCCTGCGAGGCAAGTTTTCTCAACTGGACAGATCAAGCTGCTTTACAAGCAATTTCATCCTCCACGAAAGCATCAACACCCGCGTGTGGTAGCATTATTGGCGGAAGAACTGGGTACCATGTCTAAAATAACCTGACAGGGGTTATGCTAGGAAATAAGATCTTTGTGGATGAATAATTCTTTTACCCTTCATCCTCTCTTGGAGAAAACTAATTATTATCCTTTCTTTTTATCGCACTACTTGATCGTTTAACGGTTGATCAAATTTCTTAGAAATTGGATGTTTGGCATTGACTAAAAGTAAATGTGATTTTTAAAAAAATATATATCATAATTAAAAATGCTTTTGAAATACGTAAGCAAGTAAAAACTAATGATATCAAGTTCCGACGTTTCAGCTACCTCATGACGCCATTATCAAGGAATGAATAAATGAGAGCGAATTTTTTAAGAGATAAGACCTGATAATGGCGTCATGAGTTCGCCGAAACATCGTGACACCATAACTATAGAAACAGAACCACGTGTATGCATAGAAATAGAAAACCATGCAACTCTTTTCTCATGGTCAACATGGCTAGCGGCATGGATCGCGGGTGCGTGCGCCCAACGACGACGACCACGACGTCAAACAACATGGGGGCCATACTACAGCTAATTCATACAAGTATACATTATAAACAGAAAACCTCCCCGCAAAGTAACAAAACTCAAATCAAAATTTTCGGGCTTTGAACAACCCGACCCGGGAGCTCCGGTTTTAAGTTTGTCTAAATCTATCTATTATCGTTGGTTTTTACTTGCTTGTGTCTTTCAAACGTCAGAAGAAAAAAGGCACAATACCGAAAAGAATGTCTCAAATTACTTCTCGCATCAGATTTGATATCTTTGTAGTTTTTGTAACTTTTCCTTTCAACAAGAAGTGTCAACTGAAGTATAAAGATAAAATTGCAATCATACCATTGGACAGATGCTCCACTCCGAAAAGCCTTTTGATTTCCTCGCTTGTCATCAGATGATGAAGTGGCTACAAAAGAATCGGTAAGGAAGGAAGCGTTACGGAACTCTAAAAATACAAGACATTTAAAACGATGTATAATATGCTTTATTAAAAACTGAATCATTGGATAATACAATTCAAGAGATTTCATTGGTTTAGCCATCATGATATATGAGCCATTATATCCTGGTCTAATAACATGGTAAGCGTACGTGTCACTTTTGGGACGTTTGTATTTTTTTTTTCTATATTTTGGGGCCGTTTTTAATGAAACAATTATTCCACTCGCGTTTGTTGGATATGTGACGACTATAGCCAGCTTGGCGCTACGCGCCTTGTCGGCTATCTGTCATCTCATATCCACGGGCGTTCGTGGAATAATTGTAAAATATCAGTAAATACATGCATAGCTGATGGCTGAGCACAAGATTAGACATAACAATATATCCCCACTCTTCTCGATGTGCGATACGAGTCACGATACATATTTAATAACTGTGCATTTTCGGCGATGTACCTCAACTTAGAGGAATACCAAAATGTCGGTTTGTGCAAAGAAACAATTTCTGTGAGTTAAAAAGGGGGCAACTGAGCCTAGGGGAGATTTAGATGATGCGGATTACGAACCACCTTAGATAAAACAGTGGAAGAGAGGAGTGCAATGAACCAGGCGTACCAATTGTGATTCCTCTTACATCGATCTAAAAACAGATATATTTTCAGTTTTAGCATAGCGCCAAGAGACTATGGCATAGTCTCTTGATAACACTCAATTTGATCTGTCTGATAGATTAAATCTCTTAATGGGGTAGTGATAAGATTTTCCCTTACTTCCGTATGGAAAATTTTGGCAGCCACACGCTATCCGATAACTTAACGCGAGTGCCACGTACCATTCGGAGGATAACGAAAATACATATTCCATTTTCCTGGTGCATTTTTTTATTACTATTTTTAATATCCTTAAGTTGTTGTAAAATAATTTGGCTGATTATCGTAGACCTGATACTTGTATTGGTTGTCAAAAAGAAACGCTCTTTCAGTTCTGCTATAGAAGTCAATAAGTTTCTTTCAATTCTCCATTTCCACGTGCAACACAAAATGGTAGCTGTTTAGTAATACAGTGCAAAATGCAGTAAAGGAGTCAAACTCAGGTAATATCACTAAGGATCTTAAGGAGAAATAAATACACAGTGTGGCCGTGATTTTCAGTACTAATAATGACATGGGAACACAATTTTTGTCAGTGCTGGGGAACGTTAACATCTGTTGTATTGCCCGTTTATCAGAAGTACAGAGTATATCCTATTTATATGTCAAAAACAAAGTAACAACTCACGAGAACTTCGCTACTGTACGCTTAATAGAGGTGAACTGTATTATTTTTCTTGATATCGTAATTAGCTTAGTATCATTCGATATTCAACAGATTAATAACTATTTTTAAAAATCTCTTTTCTCCAGACATGCCCCGCCTAACAGCTATATTCAACTTATCGAATGGATTTCGACGGACTTTAAAACAGTTTGTTGTTTCGTTTTCTAGTTATCAAACTCACCGTGTCATTGCTGGAAAGGTTTTCACCTAAAATTAATAATAAAGAAGAAATGTGAGTTATCGAAGGCGAAACAACTTTCAGAATATGAAACAAAGTGCGGGCTAACCGACGTTGCTGCCGTTGATTTCTGAAGTAAAGCTGTATACATTTTAAGATGGACAAGTTAAAAGATGAAAGCAAGGGATCAGTAAACAAACAGGAGGGTTCAATCAGAATTAGCAAAGAGAGAGACTGGCTATAGGCGCATTCTGGTAGGAGTTAAGTATCTTACGCAAGGACATGTACCAACACGGCGACACTGGCTTAAATAAAGCCTGTTAAAATCAATTTCACGTGCAAACACATTGACTATTACAAACTGCAACAAAAAATAATTTGGCTACTTTGTAAAACTTACCACTGCATAGGAGCGAAGGTAAATGAATGAGTATGCACATCAAAGAAGGCACTAACTTCATCTTCCTGCTTACAAAGAAAACAAATACTTCCAAACGGTCGTAAAAACAGCAGAGAAACAACAAATTTCAAAACGGAAACAACATTTTTATTGTATAAAACATAATTCGACATTCCTATGTCATCTTCAGTTGCAAATGTTCTACGGTTGTACATTTGAATTTTCACTGTGTGCGCGATTACGTTGTAGAATTACGCCATGAAATTTACGTTAACAATTTAAATATTGGAATACACTAGAAACAAAGAATAGCAACAGTAGTTGAAAGAGAATCACAAACACAAGAGCAAAAAAAGGAACAATGCAAAAAGAAAACATCAACAGCAAAAACATATATGTATGTATATATATGCTATTCTTTGTTTCCAGTGTATTCAATATTTAAATTGTTAACGTAAATTTTGTGGCGTAATTCTACAACGTAATCGCGCGCACAGTGAAAATTCAAATGCACAACCATCGAACATTTGTAACTGAAGATGACATAGGAATGTCGCTGAAACATGTTTGTAAAATAAAAAATGTTGTTTCCTTCTTGAAAACAAATACTCTACGTAAATCAACCATCTAAGCCCTTCCCATTTGACCTGAAGAACGTAACAATGCAGAGCCATAAAAAGTTAACGCACGTACGAAAGAAACAAAAAAATAATTCCTTTAGTTTGAAATAGTTAACGTTGCCAAAACAAGGACAAAATAAGAAAGGAAAAAAATTTTAATTTGCTTCCAAGGATAAAAATCGAGTAAAAACATTTCCATTTTAATTTACGCCAAAGCAATCGTGACTTAATTTAACTGGCAACATACAAGACAAGACGAGACAAGACAAATTCTGCGCGTGCAATACAGAAGTGTTGAAGTTGACATGAAATATGACAATAGTCTGTTTGTAATAATACCTCACTTTTTGTGTAAACAAATAGACACTTGCTTTTTAAAAGGTTGCAACTAAAGTTGTGCTTATTAAACACGAGAATGAAGTTGTATGCTCTGAATCCGTCAGCACGCAAGAATTTTGAAAGTGGATGTTGCTCTCTTGATCACAAGAGTCTAGATGTGTACTGTAGAAGGCGTCTTCTTGGTAAGCTTCTTTACTGAACAAAACTCAGTATTAAAAACAACTCACAGTTAGTAATTTGTCCTTAAAAGCGGCTATGGGCCTTTTACCCATGGCCATATATGTCCAATTTGATGTGTTTTACTGGTGCTCGGTAAACAATGTTCACGCGACGCAGCAATGGAGATCGAGAAGGGGGGGGCTTTTCCTGAGTCACGCATTATGGTGATGAAATGCAATGCCATTAATCCAATACGAAAACGTCTCTAGAAAATCGACAACTATCACTGTTAATTCGAGACTATAACGATTGTATTGGGTTAGAAAAAGATACTGCCGAGCTCAAGATACTGTTTCCTCTTGTCGTCCGTAAATAATAACTAAGCACAAGAGGAAAGAAAGTTCAAACAAGGAAGATTATTGTAAAAGATACACACCTCAATAAGTTCGGTGCTGAGCGGGATCTTTGATCTCTTCTCTTGCGACTGGTCAGCTATTCTAACAGAATTTACCCTTATATATATACGCCGTTGTATCTTTTATCGTTCGACGAATTTTAACTTCCGTAACAATGCACGGAAACTACGGCTGTTTTATGACGAAAGGATCTCATATAGGCACCACCACTTTATCACCTTGTTAATCGGTTTAATAGCACCAGGTGCCGAAATCTAATTACTTCGCACGAAAACGTTAAGATTACAGGAACGGACTCTTTGAGAGAAAATGTCAGCTCTTAATGGGCTTAATCCAAATAAGGTGTCAGTTTTGACAAAAAGAAAACATCGCAAGTTACAAGGGAGAACTTACCGCTAGAAAAAAGTAATAATGTGTCATGTAAAAATAATCCATTATTATATTTTTTATTAAGAAACACATTTTAGTTACTTCTCAAAATATAAGCTAAAACATTGTCAAGCAGTTTGTAAACATCACGATTTTTGAAGTTTTCAAATAAATCTACCTTGCATTCACTGAGCGAGAGCGTTGTAAATCGGGAAATTAAAATGTATGTATAATAATAGGCGATCGCGAAGAAATCATACAATGCTTTTATTGAAAAAAAAAAATGAAAAAGCTAAGATTCGCAAGAAATTAGAAGAAATTTTTGTTGGACACCGGATCGTGAAAAAAGATATTTTGACAGTAAGTACACAAAATTAGGTGACTCTTGAAAGCTTTTTCTGCGGTATGGATTTCCGACTCTTTATTATGCTTATAAAATTGAGTTAAAATGATCCCTGTTATCCAAGAGCTATCTTATTCACATCATTTAAACAGTTATCAAAGGAAAGAAAAAAACGTTTCTCGTCAGGAAAGTTGGAATATACATTCTAAATGATCAAAAAAGCGATGAAAAAGAAAATCAAGAAACCGTTGACTTCAATTCAAAGTTATATCCTTGCAGCATAATACTTCTTATACAATACAAACAGTATGTTTGGTAAAATTGAAGATGCGTGGGTCTAGATTATACTTCGAAAACCTTAAGAAATTTATAAGCACAAAAACTGAAGGTGTTAAGTGTTAATAGTGTGAATGTAAAAGATGAAGCCCTATCTCTGGACTGCTAATAACAATGCAAATTGAGATCACTTGATGTCTTGAAGTGTCGAAACTTCCTACGCTGAAAAGAAAACTCAGGATTGTGACCTATGATGTTTCTTTTGATACCGGCGGGGCTGAGATCTATCTTGAACTAAATTAGAATATAAAATTCACGTCGTAAATGAGTATAAATGGAATTTGAATCAAGGCCATAATTAATTCCTTTAAGACAGAATCCACTTTAATTCTGTGCCAGTACAAAGATCGAAAAGAAGCAGTAAGGAGACATTTGCTTTCGATATGAAAAACATACGCGAAAAATCTATTGCGGTGTGGCCTTGTGACCAGATATTCACGAAACTATGGAAGGAAACATGAAGTCTCCAAAATAGAGAAAATTCAAAACTAATAATAATATTAACAAAAATGTAATGCTCTAGTTTCAAGCCCTAGAGCAAACGAATACACTCCGTCCAGTAAAATAACTGTCTACTTTTTACTTGGTTCTCGATGTATTGGGCTTATCGAGACAGAGGTAAGGTCATTACCGGGATTAGACTAAACAAGTCAGGTTATATCAAGCCTTCTATGAGATGGTTTATCTAAAGCTTGAGAACAAAAAAAGGTGGCTAAATGGAGCTACAAAAGCTGATTATTCAGAAGAAAAAAAAGGTGGATAAATGGAGCTACAAAAGCTGATTATTCAGAAGAAAAAAGGGTGGCTAAATGCAGCTACCAAGGTTTTTTACTGTCAGGTTGAAACTTAATCTCAACCTGTGGAGGGCAGGTTGGGCTGTTTACAAAGAAATAGAAATTGAATAGGACTTATTGAAAAAACACTTATGAAAAAGACTTAATGAAGACCGTTATGTTTCTTTAAAGAACACAGCGTAGTTGTACAGTGGGTAGTAGGGGTTGAGAGAGGGAAGGCAGAGAAACATTGCCAAAGAACTCCGTGAAGATTTCCCAATACAATTTCGACGTAAGGGAGGAAAGACTAAAGAAAAAAAACGGAATGAATTTTTTTGGATGCCAACCGCGACAACGGTTTGTTTGAGAAATTTGCATTTTCACAAATCAGGCGTTGTGCCATGATCCTGAGGAGCGTTACGTCACCGCTATGAAGTCATCCACCGATGGCGCTTCGAAACTGCAGTTCGTCTCCTTGTAATCTCAGTCTCCTTTGTACCAAATAAACTGAGTCCCCGCAGGCGGTCTATGCGTGGCATCAAATATTACAAATATTGCAAATATTGCAAAGAACTGCGTGAAGTTTTTCCAATACACTTTCAACATAAGGGAATAGTAACTTAGGCCGGAAAAAAACTGAATCAATTTCTTTGGATGCCAAACCACGACAGTGGTTTGTTTGAGGCATTTTTATTTCCACCACCAGTCGTTGCGCCATGATCCAAGCGACCGCACGTCACCACTATCACATAACCCACAGAGGCGCTTCCAAACTGCTGTTCGTCTCCTTCCAATTTCAGTCTCTGCACCAAAACGTCCACGCAGGCGGTCTATGCGTAACTTTAGCGACAGGCATCAAATGAATGTATCTGATTTGTCATTAACTCTTCCCTTTCGTTATTATTCAAGTTTATTTGTCATTTATATTTTCCTTTCGTTTAGTTTTCGACGTTTATTACCAAGTTAGTGAGCACACTCGTCAGAGCCACAATCGCTGTATTAACCACGCAATTGGTAATAAGGTCTCATAGTGACTCTTTTAATCAGCCAATTTATAGCTCCGTGAATGAAATACTGTACTTTGTATTGGCACAGTAAATAGAGGCGTTTTTATTTGGATTATTAGTGGACTATTAGTAATAGTCGAAAAAAGACGCCTCGATTTACTGTGCCCGGATACAACAGTATTTTATTCCCATAACTATAACTTTCCGGTGAAAAGAGCAGCATCAGCGGTTCCCAAGTACCATGCAGATTTGTTTAACCAAATGATATATACCAGTGCCATTTAGACTAGTCAAAGGTGACATTTATTTTCTCCCAGGGTAGGTGGCACAAATCTCGACTGTATTTATATGCCGATTTAAAAGCTACAAACGCCATTTCGAAAACTGTTTATCTGATTCTCAATTCAAGAATTAATACAATAATATTTGTATATATAAGTTTCGTTTTGAAAAGTTGTTTTTATTCTTTAACTATTTTCTCAAACAAATGTGACAATTCGAACTTCAAAATTGCCACTGTATCTCATTTTCAAACGTGTTAAAATTTCACCCGTCAAATAGATTGTTGAAACTTTAAATTATTTTTCCTCAAATACTGATTCACCCAAAGAAATACTTTAGCAGAAAAAAAAAGATTTCTGGTGAGTGTCTTCCGATTCTCGCCATTCTCAGAAAATGGCTTTTACGGCTTATATCTTGCTCTTAAATTTAACAGATTTTGAACTACAGAGAAAAACCTTTTATCAAAGAAAGGCAAAAAAACTATAAACTGTATTCCATCAGTACGGGCCATGTCCTTATATATGACTCAAACATAAAACATTTGATATATTTAATTTCTTGGTGATAGATTAGGGCAAAAGAACGTTTTACAGCCAGTGTTAGACTAAAAGTTAGACTACAAATTACGGCGTAACTCAGATTCCAAACTGTGTTCACAAAACAAAACGATTTTTAATAATAAAGTGTATTATCGTTTGTCTCACGATGTAGTCACTTGAGATGTAGATCGCGACGTTTCGACTGCTTACTGCTAGTCTTCTTCAGGCG